TCAAGCGCGACGTGCGGACGCCCTTCGTGGTGGAGCTGGAGGTGCTGGACGGCCACGAGCCCGACGGCGGGCGGCTGCTGGCGCGGGCGGTGCACGAGCGTCACTTCATGGCTCCCGGGGTGCGGCGCGTGCCCGTGCGCGAGGGTCGAGTGCGCGCCACGCTCTTCCTGCCCCCAGGTGAGCAGCCTCCCACCTCTTTGCTCAAAGTTCCTCTGTGATTTGAAGTGCAGAGAAAGGTAGCTCCCAGGACTCACAGGGAAAGAGACTGGACTGGAAGGAGCCTGTTGTGATGATGATGCTCTTTCCCTGAAGCTGGTCCTTCGTTCAGCTGCTAAGTTACAAGAACTTTTAAAGAAAGGGACAAGACACTTGTAATATAAAATTAAAACTAGTGGTAATAAATGGGGCGGTGGTGGCACATGCCTTTAATCCCAACTCTTGGGAGGCAGAGGCAGACCGATCTTTAAGTTCGAGGCAACCTTGGTCTACAGAGTGTGTTACAGGACAGACAGGGATACACAGAGAAACCCTATCTCAAAAACCATAGTGATCTTTAACTATTCTTTTAAATGTTAAATCTGTTTTGAGCTGTGCATCATAGGCTGACTGGTTGGAACACCAAAGCAAAAGGCTGTCTTGAGCTTTGGAGCTCAGTACAGTCGGTTAACATAGCAAAACCCCTTTTCAATACAAGGGACCTTTCTCTTTCTTGTCTTTTCTTCTTCCTCCCTCTCTCTTTTCCTCCCTCCCTCCCTTTCTTTCTTTCTTTCTTTTTTTTTTTTCAAGACAGGGTTTCTCTGTGTAGCTCTAGTTGTCCTAGAACTCGCTCTGTAGACCAGGCTGACCTCAGACTCACAGCCATCCACTTGCCTCTGCCTCCTGGGTGCTGGGATTAAAGGTGCGTGCCACTACTGCCCGGCCAAGGCAAGTTTCTTGTTTCTATTGTTTTTCTTTCCGTTCCCACACTACATTAAGATTTATGTCAACTAGCAGTTGAAGTAGAGAGAGACCTTTTTCTGTCAACTGGCACTCTGAGATCATTGCATAGTCTTACATAAAAAGCATGCTTACTTGGCCTCTTTAGTAACCAACAAAACGCAAAATAAAACTACGGACTATATGGCATAGCTTCAAGAGAAACAAAGCTTTCAAAGCCTAACATTTCCAGTTAATGTTAAGTGCTTGGAGGAAAGGTCACTCAGTACCTTTAGAAAGAGTGGGAGTGTTCGTTCAGTTATTCTGGGAAGCAACTAGTTTTTAATGAGTAATTCTGCAATTTTGTGACATGTGTACACCAGAAAACTTATTGCTTGGAAATAGTCCAAATGCCCCCCGGTAATGGAGTTGATAAATAAATGGAGGCACATTTCTGGAAGTCAAAAGAATTGACCCACAGCTACCGGTTTCTTGTGTTTAACCCAAACTGAAATCATAGGTAAGACAAGCTCTCCAATCGCTGGTCATTCCCCATGGTGTTCAGCAGCAGGGAGCCACAGCAGTGGGAAGCAGTGGCATCTTCTTGTGTCACAGTCCTGCAGGCCTTGGGTATCAATCAGGTCCCTTTGCTTCTGGCCAAGGCCAATGTTACCTCCTGAGGGGCAAGACCCTGAACCTCTGTAGGCTGACAGCACTGACACCCCACCCCAAGCTTTTGTTCTTTGGTCTCGGCTCACTACTCTCTCTTGTTATCTCTCTATTTCCGCTTTCCTTCTTTCCCTGGCTACTCTTAAATTGTTTGGTGGCTTCTTTGGCCAGCTTCTTGAGCCCTCTCCCCAGTACAGTGACTGCTGCCATGGCAACTCAGGAAGCCTGCCCTTGCCAGAGTTATGCTCGGAGGATAGAGCTCCAGGCTGACACACTTGCCAGCTGCTTGGAAGTTGGGGTGTCCATTCAGGAACTGAGGGCCAGAGTGCTGGGCACACACCACCACACAGGACTGCCGGTGGGGGGGGGTGAGAGCGGCAGCCTACCTTAGTGGTTTCACAACTTGCTAAGTGCTGAGCTGTCCCAACCTCTGCTCTTCGCTGGCTTGGCCTCCCTACTCCCTCCAGAGAAGCCTTTGCCTAATGTTGCTGCACCGGGGAGCAGGGGTGGGGGGGGATGTGAGGGATGGGGGGGTAAGGGGGGCCGGGGGCAGGGGAACAGCATTAGAAAGAGCGTCTCTCAGAGGGCTTGCTGAATAGCCTGCTTACACTGTTAGAGAAAGATCATTTGACCAATTGCAGCCTAGCCTCAGCGCCGATCACAATCACTGAGATTTGTGTTTTAGACCAAACACAGATTTGCCTTCAGGTACAACTGCCAGACTATTAGGGGAAATGCCCCCCCCCCCCACCTCCACACACACCAGGGTGGAAATGGTTATAACAAAAAGTCTGGTACAAGTTGTTTCAAAGGGCCCTGGCCACAGCTACACCTTCTGGTGTGTTGTTGGTGGGGTTTTTTTGTTATTGTTGTTGTTTTGTTTTTTACTTTTTGTTCTTTGTGGGGCCCACCACCCAGCTCCCAAATAAATACACAGAGTTTTATTCTTACTTATGAATGCCAGGCTTTAGCTTGGCTTGTTTCTAGCCAGCTTTTCTGAACTTAAATTATCCTATCTTTTGCCTCTAGAGGGCTTTTGCCTTTCTCTATCCCTTTATTTCTTACTCTGTGGCTTGCTGTGTAGCTGGGTGGCTGGGTCCTGGAGTCCTCCTCTCCTCCTTTTCTCGCTTCTCTGTCTTTTCTTTTTCTCCTATTTATTCTCTCTGCCTGCCAGCCCCACCTATCCTTTCTCCTGCCTAGCTATTGGCCGTTCAGCTCTTTATTAGGCCAATCAGGTGTTTTACACAGGCAAAGTAACAACAGCTTCACAAAGTTAAATAAATGCAACATAAAAGAATGCAACACATCTTTGCATCATTGAACAAATGTTCCCCAGCATAAACAAATGTAACCTATCTTCTGCAACAATATCACCCAGCCCTGGTCTTTGTGTGGTCAGTCTCACGCAGGGTTCAAGATGGCTGGTCCTGGCACAAGGGTGGCGGGCTGTTAGATCCTTTTGTTCAAGGTGGCCAAGACTTCAAAGAAGAGTTCAGTAGCAGCTGACTAGGGAATCAGATTGCCCTGCCCCCGACATCTTTCATCATTTATAGGAAGATGGACAGCAGCAGGAGGAGAACGTCAGGTTTATATACCTCAATCTCAACACTAACACTGATTTTTAACAAACGTAAACAGTGCTTATCATCTGCCCATGCCCAAGGCACAGGTGGAGTCTCCCATCAGTCTCAGTTCCATTAAGATAAAATTCACGAAGCAGGCAAACTAAAATCTGTGTTTATTTATTTGAACATGTCGGGGACACATGTGGAAGTCATAGTTTGCAGTTTGTCTGAGTTCTCACTTTCCACCATGTGGGTCCGGGGGATTGTACTTGGGCTGTCAGTTTGACAGCAAGAGCCTTGTTCAATAAAAACCAAATACGTAAGGCACACGTGTAAGAGGTGGTGATACCATCTTATGACATCAGTACATAAAACCCACAGTTATGTCCTTATGCAGAAGAAGGACCAGGCAAAAGTAGGGTTTTCTGGTGCCTGTCAGGTGTCAGCTGAGAGGCTAAATCAGGGTTCTCTAGAGGACTGACAGAGTGAATATATACTGTGAAAGGGATTCATTAGATGCTGTGGGCTATGTAGTTCAACAATAGCTGTTTACACTGGAGAGGCTGAGACAATAATTGCTGTTCCTTACCCCCTGCTGGATGCCTCCGCCATCCCAATCGGATGAGGAAAGCCTCTAGGATTCCTAGAGAGCCATCCTGGAAGGCCAGAGAATCTGGGTTTCCAGTGTCAGCCAATGCGGCAGCAATGGTATAGATACACTTAACAGCACACAGAGCAGGCAAACAACACCTTTGCCTCAGGACTGCTAGGTATCTGGACTGCCAGCAGAAGGTGCTGCCTACCTAGGGGGAGGGTCTTTCCTCCTCTCTTAGTCCTTCCTGGAAATGCCCAGGGGTGTGTCTTATTGATCCCAGATCCAATCCGTTTGAAATCATGATTAACCTTAACATTGAGTTATTTAAATTGGACATGTGAAAGACTAACCCTCTTCTATAAACAGTGAAAATATTTAGGACACAAAAATCATGCAGAATGAACATGCAGCCTTTTGAGTCTATGTCCGTTCACTCAGCAGGAAGCCTTTGGAATCCATGTGGTCTTCTACCCATCAGGCCTTGCTGTTTCTTCATAATGCTCGGTTCTATGGAGGTAGCACAGTTTGTATCCAAACTATGGATGGAGGACTTTGGGTTTGTTTACAGTCTGGAGAGCATGAATGAAGCTGCTGCGAACACTTGACTACTTACTGTGTTGAACTGGGTTCTTGTATGAACACAGATTTTCATTTCATCTCTCGTTCATTTCATTCATCCTTCAGAGGGAAATGACTGGGTTATATGACTATGTATAGGTTTAACTGTGAGCCACCACCCACCGCTTTCTACAGACTTCACCATTGGTTTTGCATGACACCAGCATCATGTGTTGCGATGTTGGTTGGCATTGTCCAGTTTGGGGGACAGAAGTGGACAGATTTTTATTGTTGTCATTATAAAGGTTGTTTGTGTGTGTGTTCTGGGCCATGCATGGTGGCACACATTCCCCCCCCCCCCGTCTTCTAAATGTCCCCCTAATGTCATTGCAAACACTTATGGAGCTTTGAGACGTTAGGTATAGAAGGGGATATAGATTTAGCCCAGGCTACTGTCTAGGTGCTTGAGGGACAGGTCCGCCAGTATTTTTCACTGTCTGTTGAAAACCTTATCATCCTCACATAAGCAACAAATGCTTATTAATGTCACTGCAAACACTTCTTAGTAATGTTTAGTGATGTTTCTTTCCCAGAACCTGGACCCTTTCCGGGGATTGTGGACCTTTTCGGAGTTGGAGGTGGCCTTCTGGAGTATCGGGCTAGTCTGCTGGCTGGGAAGGGTTTTGCTGTCCTGGCTCTGGCTTATTATAACTACGATGACCTCCCCAAGGGCATGGATGCCATGCACATGGAGTACTTTGAAGAAGCCGTGAACTACCTGCTTAGCCACCCCGAGGTTAGATCTCCTCAAGTTTTATTGGCCCCTGTCATATCTCCTCGTCATGTGCTTGATTTCACAGAATGAGAGAGCTGATGACAGCCTCGCTCTCTCTATTCACAAAGAGCCCAGACCCCTGGAGGTTTCTAGGTTTGATTCAAGGATATAAAGGGAGGGAGAAAGACAGGGCCATCCCCAGCCAGTGCTCATTCAGATGACGTGCTCGGCAGCTCTCGCCTGCCTGTGTCCTCATGTCCCTGTGTGTGTCTCTGTCCCCGTGTACCGTGTCCCCGTGTCCCCGTGTCCCGTGTCCCGTGTCCCCGTGTCCCCGTGTCCCATGTCCCCGTGTCCCCGTGTCCCGTGTCCCCGTGTCCCCGTGTCCCCGTGTGAGCACTGGGTGAACTTGACAATCAGCGGCAGCAGACCCGGGTGCTCTGAACTTTCTAGATCAGCACGGCACAGGCTGAGGTGGTAATCCTTGCTTGTGTTATAATTTTATAATCAGAACTTCAAGTGGCTGGAAGCGTTGGCGCTCTTGGAGAAGTGGAGCCAGTGTAGGCTGCGTCTAGAGAGACGTGGGAGACTAGATTTTGCCCATTTCCCACTCCACGGCCTTGGCACTTTCTCCTTGGATAAGTAGATACTCTAGTTTCATCTTTGTTGCTGTGATTAAAAATAGAAATACCCCGACAAAAGCAACTCACTGAGAAAGGGCTTATTTTAACTCATGGTCCCAGCCCGTGTCCATTAAAGAAGAGAAGTCACAGGGGCGGATGCTGGTCATGTCACACTCATAATCAGGATCAGAGAGCCAAGAGTGCATGCATGCTGATCCTCAGCTCTCTTTTTCCAGTTTTACACAGCCTAGGGTCCAGCTCAAGAAACAGTGCCACCTACGTTCATGGTGTGTAGTCCCACCTCAAGAAATTCCCTTAAGGGGCTGGAGGGATGGTTCAGGGGTTAAGAGCACTGACTGTTCTTCCCGAGGTTCTGAGTTCAATCCCCAGCAACCACATGGTGGCTCACAACCATCTATAGTGGGATCTGGTGCCCTCTTTGGGCACTCAGGTTTGAATGCAGAGCACTTATACATAAAATATAAATTTAAAAAAAAAAAAGAAGAAAGAAATTCCCTTAAAGGCGTGTCTATAAGTCAACCCAGCCTTAGGTTCCTTATGTTAACTCCCTTCCCAGGTGAGTCTAGATTGTGTCAAGTGGACAGTTAAAAATTTCATAGTAATTAAAGCATCATTTGATCATGTAATTATTAGGACTTTAATGAGGAGTCATATTTAACAGTGGTCAAGGGTACTGTGGCCAAAGGGGAGGGGTGAGGAGGATGAAGAGTAGAAGGGAGGAGAGAGAGAGAGAGAGAGAGAGAGAGAGAGAGAGAGAGAGAGAGAGAGATTTCTATGACAGGTCAGCCAAAAGATCTTTTGTTTATAGCCCTGGGATTCAGGACAGGAGCGGTCCTTGTGGGATGGTGCCAACCCAAACCACCCAGAAGGCACTGAGCAGGAAAGTACAACAAACATCTCCCCACGGGTTTCTCAGGGACCCAGGGTAGAGAACAAAGTCATAACTAGTGTGGCCTGGGGCACAGGGCTGTGAGGAAACAGATGAGGCCCAGAGCAGGGAGGACCTCAGGGGTGCCAGCTGAGAGAAGTGGGAAGGAGAGGAGGCCGGAAGTAAGTGTGGGAGGCCAACCCTAGAGAGAGAGAGTGGACAGCATCCCAAACACAACTGGATTGTGTGGGACACCCGAGAGCGGCCATGGGCACAGGCAGGCTGGGGAGTGAGAAGATGAGAGATTCCCCCTGACAGCTCCTGTTTTCTCACCGCAGCATGGAGAGGTGCAGGTGGAGGGGCAGGTGGGGTCTCAAGAGGCCGAGGAGGTAGGAGAGGATGTGAGGCGGTCCTTTGGAGACGTGGAAAGGGAAACCCCAGTGCTGTGTGGCAGGACTGGTGGGCCACGTGGGTGCCGGTGTCCGGTAAAGATCAGTCAGCAGGAATGTTCGTTTTCCTTAGTTTCTTGGGGTCCATTGTCTCCATAGTCTAATGGCAAAGGAGGATTGTAAGTGTCTGTTTAGAGGAGCTTCATTCCTGCTTGAATGGTTTTGACAATAGATAGAGTCCAGATGTTGACCCTGGTCCATGGAGCTTTCCAACTGGGCCTACTCGCTGTTTAATACTGTGCCTGGACTAATTCTCTTATTCCTTTTATGTTTTTCTCAGATAAAAGGTCCAGGAGTTGGAGTGCTTGGCATTTCCAAAGGGGGTGAACTTGGCCTTGCGATGGCCTCCTTCCTGAAGGGCATCAAAGCTGCTGTCATCATTAATGGCTCTGTGGCTGCTGTTGGGAACACCATAAACTACAAGGATGAGGCGATCCCTCCTGTGTCTATCCTGAGAAATCAAGTCAGAATGACCAAAGATGGCCTCCAGGATGTTGTGGATGCTCTGCAAAGCCCTTTGGTAGAACAGAAGAGCTTCATCCCTGTGGAAAGAGCAGACACGACCTTCCTGTTGATTGTGGGTCAGGATGACCACAACTGGAAGAGCGAGTTCTATGCCAATGAGATCTCCAAACGCTTGCAGGCCCATGGGAAGGAGAAGCCCCAGATCATCTGCTACCCGGAAGCGGGGCATTATATTGAGCCCCCTTATTTCCCACTGTGCAAGGCGGGCATGCACCTCCTGGTGGGGGCTAACATCACCTTTGGAGGGGAGCCTAAGCCTCATGCCATGGCCCAGTTGGATGCATGGCAGCAACTCCAGACTTTCTTCCACAAACACTTGAGTGGTAAGAGTTAGGGAGTGACTCCCCAAATACAACCTATTTTCTAATGGCTTTGGGGAGAAAGGTTCAAATACATTGTAAGAATATCAGTTAATATTACTTCATCTGAACATAGTGTTGAATATAGGGCTTATTCAAGGGCTGGAAACGTAGTTCAGTGGTAGAGTACCTGACTGGCTTGTGTAAGTCCCTGGGTTCAATCCCAAGTGCTGTAGGAAATCGGGCAAATGTTATATGGAAACTGTACCTTTTCAAGGAATTGTGCCTAGAATCAAAAGAATACCATGAGTAGCCACACTGTTGTGCCATTAAAAATTATGTACTTCAATTCTTGGGCCAATGTTGCTATTATCATCTTCCTTTCAAGAAGTGGGTTTGGGGCCGGGCGGTGGTGGCGCACGCCTTTAATCCCAGCACTCGGGAGGCAGAGCCAGGCGGATCTCTGTGAGTTCCAGGAAAGGCGCAAAGCTACACAGAGAAACCCTGTCTCGAAAAACCAAAAAAAAAAAAAAAAAAAAAAGTGGGTTTGGGGTGACCTGGGGGGCTTCTTTTCAGATGCCTAACACATGTTTGGGCAGCAGTGGAAAGAAGGTTTTTGTTGCACACATATCCATCAAGAACATCTGTTGTTTTTAACAAAATCTGGATTGTTTGATTTTGTCAATAAAGACGCAGAAGCCAGATGCTGGGGTGAAAACCTGCTAGCTCAGAGAGGCAGAGAAAGCACCCGGCTGACCTTCCTCCTCTGCCAATGTCCCAGAAAGAGCTTTCTCCTATGCTGTCTCAAACCAAACTCCTCCAACTGGATGTCCCTCTTTTCTACTTCCTGTGTGTGTCTCTCTCTCTGTCCTCCTGACTCCCTCTTACTCCCTATGTTTTTTTTTCCCCCTGTCAACTGGTTGCTCGCTCTGCTTCTTGACCTATGGTTGATTTTATCTCATCCTGTTCACAGTATTCAAGCAGACGACATCTGCTCTTGAATTAAAGGCATGTGCTAGGGCTGAGCCACACTGCAGCTAGAAGCAGGTTTTTCAGTAAATAATGCAATCTCAGGGTTTACAGTGTGGTCAAATAGCCTGCAACAGACATCAATTTTACAAAGCAAACCAACAACGGGAAAAGAGTCCCTTTCGAGCGATGAGCTCCATGCCATGACAACACTTGGGGATGATGAGCATTTAGTCCAGGAAGCAACCGAGCAGCGAGGGGAGGAAACAGAGATTCTAGGAATCCCATGTTGTGTCAGCCTTCATCCTGTCTGAGAGGCAAGGAAGAGAATGTGTGAAGGAAGCGCTCTCGTCCCCGCACATTTAGTAACCCACCAGTCAACTATTGGTCATATGAGCACAGGAGGAAGGATTTCTTTACCCAGGGCTAGATTCATGGTTGAGCCTTTATAACACATGACAGCTTGTCAAGAGAAAAGCATATAAACTTACTTAACAAAAGTGGAGCCTTCAGAAATGAAGTCTCAAAGCAGTCTGGAAACTTGTGTGTTTCGCTGCTCAGTGTGATGGAAAGGGCATTGCTTAGAAGCATTTTGGGAAGAGGAGCATGACCTGCTGGTGTTAACTGGGAGGTCAGGAACACAGGAAAGTGTGCACTTAGGTTTTATGGCTGTGATAAAACTCCTTGACCAAAAGCAGTTCGGGGAGGAAAGGTTTACTCGGCTTACACTTCCACAGCACTGTTCGTTATCAAAGAAGTCAGTACAGGAGCCCAAGGCAGGAATCTGGCTGGAGGCAGGAACTGAAGCAGAAGCCATGGAGGAGCATTGTTGCTGAATTGTTCTTCACAGCTCACTCAGCCTGCTTCTTGAACCACCCAGTTCCACCTGACCAAGTAGTGGCACTACCCAAAGTGCTGGGCTCCTCCCACATCAGTTATTAATAAAAGAACAATGCTCCCAGACTTGCCTACAGGCAGTCTGTTGCAGGCATTTTCTCAACTGAGGCTCCCTCTTCCCAGATAACCCTGGCTCCTGTCAAACAAACAAAACCAATAAGCAGCACAGAATGCACACTGAGATTCTTTTCTATTTCCTTGTCTACGTAAGGAGCCTTCCTTCTGTAAACGGATGTTTCTCTCCCATCTACCTATTCCCAAATACATGGCAGCTTCTTCCCATATAAGTGACTTGGAGGCTTAATATTACTTATAAATTCTTGGCCACTAGCTCAGGCTTATTACTGACTAGCTCTTACACTTCAATTAACCCATAATTCTTACCTATTTTAGCCACATGGCTTGGTACCCTTTCTTAGTACGACATTCTCATCTTGCTTCCTCTGCATCTGGTACCAAATTCACATTAAATAATATTCACTCATGATCTCATTAAGAGAAAAAATACTGATATCATTAAAGAAAAACAAAAACAAAAAAACCCCCACAAAACTATAGCAACAACAAAAACCAAACAAACAAATAAAAACAAACAACCAAGCAGTGGTGGCATACACCTTTAATCCCAGCACTTGGCAGGCAGAGCACGTGGATCTTTGTGAGTTTGAGGCCAGCTTGGTCTACAGAGCGAGTTCCAGTACAGCCAGAGATACACAGAGAAACCCTGTCTCAAAGGAAAAAAGAAAAAGAAAAAGAAAAAAAAAAGCCCACAAAATCTAGCACATATATCAGAAGCTATGAAGCTGGTGGTAAAGGCATGCAATATCTTCTAAATTCTAGTTTTTCCCTGAAATCTCAGATTTCATCACTGGTAACAAAGTTGTTTTCCTTTAAGTACCAGGCTGATAAACGGCTCTCTTTTGAGAAAGTGTCTGCCTAATACGTAAGTCTTCATGTCAATCATACCGTCAAGGAGACTAAAACCCAGACATGTACATCACAGTATTACATTGAAGAAGTTTGATCTCTTGTCTGGGAAGAGGGGTCAGCAGGTAAAGTGCTTGACATGCAAGCTTGGGTGGCCTGAGTTTGATCCCTGGATGATCCCTGGAAACCATGAAAATGTGGAAGGATTCTGATTCTACAAAGTTGTTCCCTGACCTCGACGCCCATGATGTAGTACTCTCCTCCCCCTTCCTTTCTCTTTCTTTCTCCATCCCTCTCTCCTTCTCCCCCCAAACATACATCTTTTTTTTAATTTGTTTTATTGTACTGTTTTATGTGTGTGGTTGTTTCACTTGCATGTATGTCTCTGCACCAAGTGTGTGCAGTACCCACAGAGGCCAGAAGAGGGTGTTGGATCCTCTGGAACTGGAGTTACAGATGTTTGTAGGCCCTGGGAATTGAACCCAGATCATCAGGAAAAGGAGTCCATGCTTTTAGCCGCTGAGTCATTGTTCCAGCCCCCATAAAATAAAAGAATTAAAAGAATTCCTACAATGTAGCAATAAAAAGACACAAACCCACACACTGTTGATGAGATCTAGTATTATTCTCTAAGGTTAAGCATAGCTTTGTCACATGACCCAGCTAGTCCAGTCCTAACATAAATGCAAGAGAAATGAGAACATGTAGCCATATAACAAAACTTACAAACAAATGTTCATAATAGCTAAAAAGTAGGTCCACCCAAATAGTTCAAGGCCAGCCTGGTCTACATAGTGTGTTCCAGGCCATCCAGAGCTACATAGTGAGACCCTGTATCCCTGCCCCGCCTCCCCCCCAAAATAGTAGTTGTATATCCAGGAGCTGGGGAGATAAAGTGTTTGGATCCCCAGCACCTACGTAAGTCACAGAAACCAGATACAAAAGATTACATATTATATCACTGCCTTTATAATAAATATGCAGAAAAAACTAATAGAGAAAGCAAATCAATGATTTTAAGTGTCTGGGTATGGAGAGAATTTTGGGCGAATGGGAAGTGACTAGTAACAGGCAGAGTTTCTTCCTGAAAAATGAAAGTGCTGCAAAACTAGCTAACACTGGTGGTGAGGAGCTCCGGGGATATCTGCCAAACACCGAACTGCACACAGAAACGAATTATACTGTATAGATCACACCGTGCAGAAATGGTAACTTTCATTCCTTTAAGCTTTATTTACTTTAGTGTGCTCAAGTGTTTTGGCTCATGTATGTATGTGCACTGCTTGTGTACCCGGGGCCCTTGTTGGGTCAGAAGAGGACATCGGGTCCCCTGGAGCTGGAGTAACAGATGGTTGTGAGCCACCACATGGGTTCTGGGAACCAAACCCAGGTCCCCTGCAAGACCAGCAAGTGCTCTTAACTGCGGGGTCATCTCTCCAGCCCCGAGATGCTATTATTTTTTAAAATTAGACAAATTCATAAAACTCAAATTCCAGTAAATGCAAAATGGCTAAGTTCAAGGGGAGTCTTTTCTCTGTGTAATCTTTAATCACTGGCAAAACCAAAAAAGCCAGGGGTCAGGCACAGTAAAACTATAAGGAAAATCAAGGGGTAGGAATTTTTAAAATTTTTTACATGAGGTGTGTGTGTGTGTGTGTGTGTGTGTGTGTGTGCGCGCGCGTGCGTGCGTGCGTGCGCACCCACCCCTTTGTGGAGGCTAGAAGAGGGCATCAGATCTGTTTTTTGCAGATGGACTTACAGGTGGTCCTCAGGCATCTGATGACCTCTGGGAACCAAACTCCAGTCTTCTGCAAGAGCAGCATGTGCTCTTAGCCACTGGACCCTTCCTCAAGCCACTCCAATCCCCTCAGCCACCCCCATCCACCCA